TACAGGACAGGCTTCAAAGCTACAGAGAAATTCTATCTTGAAAAACAAAACAAAACAAAAAAAAATCATTCTTTGTCTAGTGTTTTCATGGTGGACATGAAGAGAACTGTAAGAGGGTGAGCATGGTGGGACTTAGAGGACTTAGAGAATTGAAATGGGCGGGTGGTTAAGCTTAGTGTTAGAGCACTCACCCAGCATCCCTCATCTGTTAAGTAAGTAAATAGCAGTGAAATAGAGATGTTTATATATGTGTGCATCCTGTCTCTTCCAGGTCTCTGGACTACAATGAAAAGAAGAAACAGATACTAGGAGGATTTTTTATAACAGCTTTTTTTTTTTTTTCTCAAAGTCACTGCTGCCTTCTGAACTGTGAGTACATTTCTCTGTGTTTGTACCTTGGTGCTGCTTATTGGGTTTTCTTTCCCTTGTCCAGAGTCTCTGACATACAGGAGCAACAGCAGAATGTAGCTGATGGATAGGACCAGGGAAGACCTGTAATTTGTGTGTGGAGTCTTTTTATGTGTTTAATATTAGCATTATGATGTTGGTTGTTCATAGAACAATGCTTGGGAATCGCTCTGGACATTATAAACACTCTGAATTATAGTTACTTATTGAATTCTTACAGCCAAGTTAAGATCAAGATCTGCTGTTTTACATTTACATAAACTCATAACAGAGAAGTTAATAGTTTCCAAATTAGAAGTGTTGGTACTGGTGACTGTGGCTTTAGAAGAGTGTTCTTTATTGGTGTTTTACTTTCATGAGTGCTGGCTTCAGATTTTGTCCTAGATTACTTATTTAGGGCATAGGTCCTAACCCCAAGTGGATGCCTGAAATTTCAGATAGGACCAGACCATATGTGTGTTATGTTTTTTCCTATATATACATACTGCACCTGTGGTCATGCCCATCTTTTAAACATGGGTGTTTGGATCCAAACTCAGGTTCTTAGTAAGTAATCTTTTCCTACTTAATAAGCTGTTGCCCAGCCCCACTTAAGTTAATTTTTCTACTTAAACCTAGTTTCTCCTTGGACAAAGGGATTATAGATTTTTCTCTTAGGAGATTTTTATGAAGACACTGTGAGATACATTTAATGTATGTTCAGCATTCAGTACCATTAGCAGTTGTGTTAGTTAGGGTTACTATTGCTGTGATAGAACACCAAAAGCAACTTGGGGAGGAAAGGGTTTATTCACCTACTCTTCCTTATCACAGTTCATCTTTGAGGGAAGCCAAGGTAGGAACTCACACTGGGCAAGAACCTGGAGATAGGAGCTGATCCAGAGATCATGGAGGGGTGCTCCTTACTGGCTTGCTCTTCTGATTTGTTCAGCCTGCTTTCTTATAGAACCAGGACCACAAGCTGAGGGGTGGCACTACCCACAATGGGCTGGACCCTCCCATCAGTCACTGACCCTGACCACATTTTTAATATTTTGTCGATAAAGAAATCTTGAAAAGTTTATGGACTTTATTAGACCTGGACAATAAAGTGCCTTCTTACCATTGCAGGACACCGTGTTTGTTCCTTATAACTATATAGCACAGTGTGTAAAAGCAAGTAGAAGGAAAAAAGAGCACATCCCTGCCCCTCTAACCTGAATGTAAGAATCCTAAGAAATGCAGCCTGTCTCCTAGGATCAAACTTTCTCCCACTTTGAGCATTTGTTTTGCTTTTTGTTCAAGACTACCATGTAGTCCAGGACAGCCTTGAAATGCAGCCTGTCTCCTAGGATCAAACTTTCTCCCACTTTGAGCATTTGTTTTGCTTTTTGTTCAAGACTACCATGTAGTCCAGGACAGCCTTAAACTCACTGTGAAGCTGAGACTTGTTTGCTTTCTTACTGCTCTGACAAACCCCTGACAAGAAGTAACTCAAAAGGCAACTAAGAAATGCTGAGAGTGAGAGAAATCATCTTCTCCAGTGTCAGTTGGTTATCCAATACCAAATGGCCAGCCCTGAAAACATACACATACAAGAAACATGCAGACTGAACAGGTTGTATTATATGTTTAGGAACACACATAGACAAAGAGAGCAAGGGCGGGGGAACATAGGAATGTTTGGAGGAAGGAAAGGAAAGGAAAGGGGGAAATGATGCAATTATTATCACCTCAAAAAAGCAGCAACCCAAGGAAAAGGTTTACTATGGCTCAAAGCAAGGGTACAGACCATCATGGAATGGAAGGCACACTGGCAGGAGCATAAAGCAGCTGGTCACAATGCATCTATACTCAGGGACAACTGCTGAATGTACTAATATACACTTTTTTTTTTAAAAAAAATAATGTATTTAACTTTATTTTATGTGCATTGGTATAATGGTGTCAGAGTCTCTGGAACTGGAGTTACAGACAGTTGTGAGTTGCCATGTGAATGCTGGGAATTGACCTGGGTCCTCTGGAAGAGCAGTCAGTGTTCTTAACTGCTTAGCCATCTCACCAGCCCCTTGATGTACACTTTAATTGCAGTGGGTAGGAGGCAGAGATAGGCAGAGCTCTGTGATTTTAAAGAGCCTGGTCTACATAGCGAGTTCCAGGCTAGCCAGGACTACCTGATGAGACCCTGTCTTTTATATATAATGACACATATATCTTTATATTTCTACACACACACACATACACAAAATGCTGACAGTACAAGACATACCCCCATGCTTGATGTTTACAAGTATTCGATGAAGCTACACTTTTCTGTTAGCAGAAACAAGGAACTGAGCATTATTTGCAAGCTTTACAGAAATGATAATATATTCAAAATGCATTTAAAAAGGAAATGAAAATTAGAAGAAACATTAGTAGCTTGGCAGGTAGCACTGTTCTGTCTGTTAAAAGCGTGACTACCACATGTACATTTGAGCAACCACAAAACTTAAGCTTTGATGAAAAACACTGGAGAAGTTGGCACAGCTGTAAGGAACTCTAGACTCAGTTTCTTATCTACGAAATAAGAACATAAAATCACTACCATATTGGATTGCTATATAGAATTAAGTAAAAGGTAGGGAGAAGTACTTTCTGTATAACTATAAAAACGTGAGTTCAAATGTCAAGACTCCATGTAAAAAGCCAGGTGTGTGACCTGGAGAGATGGCTCCATGGTTAAGCATGATTACTGGGCTGAGTATGGCGGTGCATACCTTTAATTCCTAGGACAAGGGAGGCAGAGGCAGGAGGATCTCTGGGTTTGAGGCTAGCCATGACTATATAGGGAGACTCTTTGGAAAAAACACGAGTGATTGAGTCTCTTGCAAAAGACCCAGGTTCAGTTCCCAGCACTCACATCAGGCTGCTCAGAACAGCTTGTAACTACAACTCCTAGGGATCAGATGCCTCTGACCTCTACAGATAACCACACTCAACATGAACACACACACACACATAATTAAAAATCAGCCTTTAGGGCTGGAGAGATGACTCAGTGGTTAAGAGCATTGTCTGCTCTTCCAGAGGTCCTGAGTTCAATTCCCGGCAATCACATGGTGGCTCACAACCATCTGTAATGAGGTCTGGTGCCCTCTTCTGGCCTGCAGACATACATGCAGACAGATTATTGTATACATAATAAATAAATAAATAAGTATTTTAAAAAAAAAATCAGTCTTTAGAAGAAAAAAATTCCAGATTTGTAGCACAAGCATCCATACTTCCAACATGTGTTTGGGGATAAGAGGCAGAGCCACAAGAATCCCAGAAAGCTCAAAGAAGAGGTCATTTGTAGAGACATCTTAAACAAGGTAGAAAGTGAGGAACACTTGAGGCTAGGTCCTCTAACCTCCATATGAGTGCCATGGCGCATACATAAAAAGTAAGATTCAAGCAGGGTGTGGTGTCGCACACCTTTAACCCCAGCACTTGGGGGGCAGAATTAGGTGGACCTCTGAGTTCAAGGTCAGTCTGGTCTACAAAGTGAGTTCCAGGACAACTAAGGCTACACAAAGAAACCTTGTTTTTACAAAAAGAAAAAAAAATTCAGAATTCACCAACTACAGCTACCACGACTGTGACTAACTACAGTTTCTCAGTCACAGTGTCAAGATTGAAATGTGTGCTCTTCATACACCTGTGTATAAATAGAAAACTTCAGCCTGAATTCAACGCAAGGCCCTGCCCTTCCATGAGTTCTATGCATTCATATGAAAGGAACTGCGGTGTCTGCAATTGCAAAGACTGTGTGCAGGCCTTATTTCCAGTCACTCTGCCTCTGCATTTCAATATGTGCAGTGCTTCTTTTCAAAAGCAAGCAATCTGTCAGCTCTCAGCTTTTTACCATTTTATCTTTGAGAGCTGGTTTCCCTTGTGGCTCTAGAGATCTGCCTGCATACCTCCATAACATGTTCTCAATCCACCTGCTTGCCCTCTCCAAACATAAGCTAATTACTAAGCAATTTCCTAAGTTTCTCCTGGAGTTCATCTGGTTTGGAAAGACTGAAGCAGCAGCACTACAGCACTGATTTCCACACCAGTGAATTGGCTTGAATACCCCAAGGCCAAAGTCATTACATTTCTGTGACAAGTAGTCTTAAAGAATTTTTTCATGAAGCAGGATATGAAACACATTTTTAAATTTACCACTTGGATACATGTGTTCTGATATGCTCTCTGTTCAAGTTTTAGGACTACAATAAAAAACTTTTCATCCATGTTTAATAGTGGGAACCTAATTCCCATGTAATCTGGTTTGAAGTTCCCAAGATGCTGTCTGTATTAAGGCGATATGTATGTACAATTTAGTAAAAGTCCCAGCAGACAAGATTTTTAAGTCACTGAAATCTATACTCTACAAGGCCACGCTTTTTCTCCCATTTATTTCTACACTAAGAAGACTCTCCCTTGAGGAAGGCCTGTTCACAGCAAGCTTCCCCAGGAAGGAATCTTCAGTTTTTTGCGCTTAGTTTACCTGCCCTCTCCCTGGTAATAGAAATGGATAAAATACTGTAGGTTCCTCTCATAGTAAAGGTAGGCCTCCAGTGTTCCATCCTCTCACAGAAAATGGGGGTCAAAGACAGGCAATCTAGCGGGAGGTTACCTGGCTATATTCTTGGGAAGGCTTCACAGCTTACAGAGAGGGTAAGGACCTTTAGCTAGATCAAAGCCAATGGGAAGTGTAGGTTGTAGAAAGTTTAAGTTCAAGAAAATTAGAAAACAGAACTTGAACAAAAAAGAAAATAGAATCGTATTACATAAATGTACTCCATAATGAGCAATGTTTACATAATCACAAACATTAAAAAGTAAAGTGTGGATCCAATCAAAAATTATCATAAAGCCAAGCAGAGAAGGCATGGGAGAAGTACTGTGGAATTGTCCTCTGGGCATGGCACAGCCACTGCAGTATTGAATAGAACAGTGTACTCACACCCCAGAAGACCCTCACAAGATAAGACCTATTAATATTCTCTCATAAAAGGGGCAGGAATGATCATGAGTAGACTCTAACATGAAATTCTAGCTACCACACCCTCTTGAACCCACCCCAGTTGTTTGTGGAGAAGACAAGGGGTGGGGTTACAAAAGGCTGACTGAAGTGGAGACTCCAGGGATGTAGATTTCCTAAGCTGTCACTCATGCTGGGGTCTTTTTGGTGATGCAGATGCCTTTCAGTAACCCATGTTCCTCTAAGTACCCAAATTATCTCACTGGTTCACCAAACTAGACTCAAATGAAATCTTTTCTTTGGTCTGTCAGAGTCCTGTTGTGATCAATTAATGTTTTTGAGCATCTCAGAAATGTCACACAAAAAGTAATTTATTGATAAAAACTCCCTACTTGCCCTGTCATTAAGGTTGACATGGACAACAAGCACAGAAATCCTATTATGAAATAGATTGAATTGCTGAAAGCAACAGCTAAAACAAAAGAGCTGAATCCAAGAACCTCTGGGAACTCTTGGTGGGTAGGACTGAACTGCCTGACCATTTCAGCACTAACTTCTGATCCAAGTACAAACACCATTTTAAAGGAGGATTTATGATTACATCAAGCTGAATAAAATCCATTGTACAAGTGTTTAGCAGAGACATTTCAAATAGCATACAAGTGATTTCCTAGGACCAAACCACAATATCCTTTCTTATTTATTTTAGTTTTTTTTTTTTTTTTTGTTTTTTGTTTTTTTGAACTCTGGAGCTTTATTCAGTGGGTCTCTGGGTCTAGAAGAAGGTGTTAGGCCTCTTGGTAGTGAAGCGAGGCTTGTGCTGGCGCCGCAGAAAACGATGGGGCAGCGGGAACTTGATCTTGGAGTCATGGAACTGCTTGACAGCCGGCCTGCGACATTTGCCGGCGGCGATTTCTTCCACCTTCATGATCTGGATGGAGTGTGCACGGGCACGATGCCAGGCACCCATGTCTCGGTAGCACTGTGTGACAGCCCCAGCAGTGGTCAGGTCGCGGTACTCACGGTACATGTTGTGTGTCCCAGTGCGGGAGTCATAGTGCAGCCAGATGCCGAAGTTCTTCACGCGCAGGGGGCGCTTCTCGAATACCTGCCCACAGTACACGATCTCCCCGGATGACTTCTTCATCTTCTTCAGCTGTGACACGAAGTACCAGAAGCGGGACTTAGCCACCACATGGTTGGGCGCGAAGATGCGCATTCGGTACAGTGGTGGTGTGTGGCACTTCGGGGTGGGCAAGCAGCGCCCCACCACCTTGTACTCCCGGAGTGTGCCCGAGGCTTTCATGGTGGTCCATCCTCGTCTGGCGCCAGTCACAAAAGGAGTTTATTTTAGTTTTTTAAATTGTGTATTATTTTATGTGATGGAGGTGTTCTGTCAACATGTATATATACTACATGCATGTAGTACCCATGGAGGTGTCATGATTAGAAAAAAGTGTAATTCCCCTGGAGATGGAGTTATGAATGGTTGAGAGCCACCAAATGAGTGCTCTAACTGCTAAGCCATCTCGCTAACCTATCCTTCCCTACTTTTAAGTCTCTTAGGAAATAAAGGCCAGGGAGAACAGACTGCTGCTCACTTACAGTAGGTAATACTGTTCCTTACATGTTGGGCTTCATGCACAGCATCTAGCAGACACATGGAATGACTGCCTGCCTGCCTGAGTAGTGGGTATATCCAGATCATAAGTCCCTCTCACACTCAGCTCTACCAACAAATTTTACTGTCTTGACATCCTAGGTCCACTTGTTTGATTGCTATTGTGCTCCCCAATGTCACCTCTGCTGGTTTTCTTCATATTATCTCAGAGAATTTATCTTGTCATGAGCTCAGAGTCAGACTCCCTCAACAAGAGTTGTTCAGCTCACCAAACACTGCACATTCTGTCTGTACTGTTGTTAACTCAAGTACAATGATCTTTCTCCCCTGGATCTACTTGGCTAATACATTCATCTCTGCTACATCTGGCTCCCATCTCATTTAGCATCAATGATTATTATGACCATCCTGTGTAGACCTAAAATGCTAACTACAAACTATGGCATAATTTCTCCCACTGTCCTCAATTTTCAGTATATAACATAGAGTACTCTTTAGGTTTACAGCCCATCAGCTACTCTACCACTCTGTTCAAGACATTCCTGTTTTGTATCTTGATATCTCTACTTAAAACAATTAAAAGTGCCATGGGGCTGGAACTTAATATGAACTCAGCAAATATTTCCTGAACTTAACTGCACCGTCTAACAATACCAGCTCTTATTGTCCCATGACCCAATGTACATTCAAGGCCTCTTCCAGATTCTATATGGGCTACTGAGAGCTACCACTAGACAGAAATATTACTACCTTAAAAACAGGCAATTTTAGTTTAATTCTCATCAACTGCAGTCGAGCCCATCATTCCATGATGAGCATTTTTATACTGCAAAGTTTCTCTTTTCCTCAACCACAAACCTCTTGCATCTACTCTTGTTAGTACCTTCTCCCATACTCCAATGACAGTCACATGCCCTACTTCAGAGAAATGCAGGTCTGTACCTAAAACTACTTCAACTTTCCCTGACATTCCTGCTACAAACATAGCAGAAACTCAACAAACATTGATGCAGCAAATGGGGAAACCAGCGAATCGAAAAGTAAAATATTTTTTATAAAGTCCCAGTCAGTAGTCGTAACATTAAAGTTTGACCACAAGGCCATGACTCTAGGACTATGACTTTCTCCTTAGCCATATACAGATGAAACTATAACTTATCACTTAAATCTTCACAGGACAAACCAACACACTCCAGCCTCCACAACCCTCATACCACAAGTCAACACCTCTTTAACTTTCATGATGTCTACATATACAACATCCAGAGTATTATCTATACAGTGTTCTTCCTGCATGTATGCCCACAGGCCAGAAGAGGGCACCAAATCTCATTACAGATGGATGTGAGCCACCATATGGTTGCTGGGAATTGAACTCCAGACCATTGGACGAGCAGCTGAGCCATGTCTCAAGCCCCTTCATGTATTATTTGTATAGGACAATTTTTAGCATAGACATGCCTTTTGAGAACATGTAAATTTGGAGTACTTGTTTGGTTTGTTTGTTCTGATTTATTTTAACCCAAAGGCATTTATTTAGATATAAGAAAATTGTGTATTATGGAGGTTGTGTTTGAATTAGCACAGGCAGTGGTATTTTAGAAGTTGAGTTATATTAGGATTCTCCCATGTTGTTTAAGCTGTGGTAGCTCTGGAGATATTTTACCAGATTTAAGTTAATAGAAACATTCTTTCTAATATCCATAAGATAAATTTAATCAGTCTTCAGTTCTTTTAATTGGTAATAGAGCACAATTATCTTTAAATTGCTAGAAGTGAGAAAATGCACAGCATGTAAAAGTACACCTTCCTGAACCTAAGAATTAATTACACGTGCACATTTAACTAACTACCTTCCTATCTTTTCTTTCTGAGACAGGTTCTTTTTGGCTTCTCTGTGTAGCCAGCCACTTTGACTGTCCTAGAACTTGCTTTGGAGACTAGACTGGCTGGCCTCAGGCTCACAGAGATGAGACAGGTTCTTATAAAGTAGATCAGGTTATCTGTGAATTCATAGCGTTCTGCCTGCCTCTGCTTCCCAGTTGCTGGGTTTAAAGATTTGGGTCACAATGCTGGGAATGAATTGAATTTCTTAAAAATATTCATGAAAGTTTACTGGGTTTTTTTTTTTTTGATAGTTTTTGATACCCTATTGAGCAGCTTTCGTAGCATTTTCCCCTCATAAAATGTTGCTTTAAAAACCACAGCAGTGAGTGGGAGAGGAATTAGTAGAAAATATGTGTGCAACCGAGTTTTATCTGAATCAGTTCTTTATTTGACTTTTGGAAACAAGGTTGTTCTTAAATGTCCAGCCTTCAAGGCAGCACTGTAATGTGTGGTTTGGTGAGAAGAGTCATCGAGACAATTGAAGCACATTGGAGTTGGACTCCTTAGGGTGGTTCTACATCCACAGTGCACTTTCTTCTGTTGGCAGCCTGCCTTGTATCTCTAGCTGGCTATGTGCGGATGCAACTGTAATATAGTACAGTTATATGGTGATATATGGTAGGTACTTGGTGATAGCCTCTTGAACAGTTGGTATTTGGAAACAGAAGGTGATGACATTTTGATCCTGATATACATGGCTTATTGCCTCATTATATCAAGGTATTTCCCCGTGGAGATCACTGCGTTTATTTTAGTTTTTTTTTGGAGGCTTAAAGCATGTTATGTGTCTAAAGACATTGACAGTTGCTTTAGCCAGGTGGCAGTCACACTGCAGTTGTCATTGCCTGCAGCTCCAGTGTGGAATAACAATATGTACTACATTGGATCTAGTGTATTACTGTTGTACTACGCACAGTGAGTTAATCACCATTTAAAATGTCTTCTAAAATGTTGCATTTTGATCTATTTTTATTGAAAGGTCAGCATAAATGCAGAAGGGTACTAAAATTAGAGACAGTGCTAGTAGCTGGGTGTGGTGGTGTACTCCTGTGATTCCAATAGTGAGAGATAGAGGCTAGAAAGTTAATACTTTGAGGCCAGCCTGGACTACATGAGACCCTATGTCAAGTGCCCCAACACACTTTAGAGAGGAAAGAAAAAATAGGTGGAATATAAATGTAAAAAATGTTTATTTCTTATGTTGTAGGAAAAAATTTTGACAGACCTTAAATAAAATGTATTATGCATACTATAGAATGCTTGCCTAACATGCATGAAATTCTGGGATTGATCCCAGCACTGCAAAACAGATACCAACCTCACTTTTAGTTCTTCTGCCTTTAGGGTTCTCCCTGTTTAGACATCTGGTTTAAATACCAAGTCTGTGCCTTTCCATCAGTGTCATTTTATTCCTTTTTGTTGGGATAAAATATGCCAACAAAAGCTGTTTAGGGAGAAAGGTTTTATTTGTCCTATAATTCCTCCATTGAGCTAGGACGTGGAAGCACCTAGTCGGCGAGCACTGAATTAATGTGTGTAAGTACCCAACTCATTTTTACAGTATTTAGAATCCCTTGCCTAGGAATGGTGTCACCCACAGTGGGGTTCTTATCACCACAATTAAGTAATAAAGATGTTACACCTTGGACACGTACGTGCTCAGGCCAGCACAAATCTAAAAAGTCCCTTTGATCATTAAGACCAAGGTATAAAAGCCTTTGACAGCAACCCTCTCAGTTGCTTGCATCCCCAGTTTTGTTATTTATTTTATAATTTAAGACAGGGTCTCTCTGTGTAACCCTATTGATTTGGAACTCCCTGGGTAGATCAGGCTGGCCTCAAACTGACAGTGATCTTCTGGTCTCTTATCTCCCAAGCCCTGGAATTATACCATTTTATTATTATTATTATTATTATTAGCTTTTTGTTTGTTTTGTTTTTCGAGACAGGGTTTCTTTGTATAGCTTTGGAGCCTGTCCTGTGTGGAACTCTCTTTGTAGATCTGGCTGGCCTCAAACTCAGAGATCCATCTACCTCTGCCTCTCGAGTGCTGGGATTAAAGTTGTGTTCCACCACTGCCCAGTGAAAGTTTTTATTTTGAAAACCTTTTTTCTTTTATTGGGGAAGACTCAAGAAGTGAAATAGTAATGATGTCTCACCAGCCATTAACATTTTGTAATCTAAGCACACACACTTGTCCCCTCCATGTAGATAAGCTTTTACATATTATATAGATTTGTATTAAGTACTTACTTTTTAAAGAAGATTTTATTTATTATGTGTACCGTGTTTTGCCTGCATGTATGCCTGCAGGTCAGATGAGAGCCCCAGATCTCATTATAGACGGGTATAAGCCACCATGTGGTTGCTGGAAATTTAACTCAGGACCTCTGGCAAAGCAGCCACTGCTTTTAACCTCTGAGCCATCTCTCTAGCCAGTTAAATGCTTATTTTTATTGACCCTTTGAGAGTGAATTCACTTGTCATGCACTTTACCCTTAAAAACCTCAGTGACTATTTGCTGGCAGCAAGGATGTTTTACAATGCCAATGAAATAATTGTCAAATTAAAAAAAATACATTTGATATATGTAGATCTGTGGTGTTGTTCAGGCAGTTTAGAGTCTGGAGGGTAGTTAGGATGTTCCTATGTCTCTATACCTTAAGTTCTACATAATGAAGCCTAGCTGGGCAGGGCTTTCAGTCTTCCTTTGCTGCCACTCTGTTTTTTATACACTAATCTCTGACGTCTCCTCTACCCTATTCCCTGTTTTGCTTCCCTGTTTTGTTTCAGAATAGTCAATGTCTAAATTGTGGCAGTTGACCTATTTGTATTTCTTTTTTTTTTCTTTCTTTTTTTTTTTTTTTTTTGGATTTTTTGAGACAGGGTTTCTCCTTAGCTTTTGGTTCCTGTCCTGGGACTAGCTCTTGTAGACCATGCCTGCCTCTGCCTCCCGAGTGTTGGGATTAAAGGCGTGCGCCACCACCGCCCGGCCCTATTTGTATTTCTTAACAGAGGTTTTTCCCCTTGATACATAGTCCAATCCGGTTATAGGCAGTATCCAGTTATGTTTCTTTGGTCTTTTTACTTGGGAAAAGGTTTGTCTGCATTGATGATTTTGAAGGATATAGTTTGTTTTTAGACTTTCCCCTAATTTGGGTTTGTATCATGTTTTCGGATGATTGAATCAGAGTTACTCATTTTTTAGCAGGCCTGTCCCAGAGAGGATACTGGGTCTTTCTTAGGGTCATTCTAGTACACGTAACAAATCTGCTGCTGCTTCTGTTGTAGGTTAGCACTCATGACTGAGGGCATATATCAAGGCAGCCCTTTCAGGGACCAGAGATAAAGCTGTGCTGCCGGCAGTGGCCTGAGGAGTTCTTTTCAGAGACTGCAGTCAAGTAAAGATGGGATTCTTGATTTCATCACAGAAAAGAATTTCAGGTCAGGCCAGTTTGAAGCAAAGCTGAAATGTATTAAGAAAAGGTTTAATAGGTTTCAGCAGAAATTAATAGGCACTCAAGGGAAGGCTAAGACACACCCAAGAGTCTTGGTGTGGG